TCTGCAAGGCTTTTATCGACCCTCTGTAAGCATTTTTAGTTGAATAACTTTCCCATAAAGATTAGTGTGCAGACAATAACAAACTTCAGTAATTGCATGTATAATTATTTTTGTGATTTATGTGCTATTACAAGTGTCTACCATTATTTCGGAGCAGTCAAAATTATCTCAACAGCTTAGTGGTTAATAACTAAATATCCAGATTAGGTGTAGGATTTTATTTTTTAAAAAAATCTTTAGAAAAAATCTTGACTTATTCTGAAACTTAACAGTTGACATTGATCTATCAACCTGTTCTTAAAATCCTAGTTATTTTGCTATTAGAAACCTATTTTTTTTTCACATGCATTTCTTGCTTTCCCCCCTATACTGCATATGATATTTGTGCCAATTTTTTTTTTCAATTAAAAAAAAATCACTAACACTCCTCTGAAGGGGAGAAGCAATAACCTCAGCAAGAGTTAGTTTATCAGCTAAATTCAACCTCTTCATTCCAAAAAATCTCACAACCAACACTTAAAAGACTTCATCACCTATTGCGAGAATGAAGTGATAGCCTTAACTAAAAACAAAGTGATATATATATCATAAATCTAACCACATATAAAATCCACTTAGAATTCTATTATAACATCCTTACAAAAGTAATCTTGATTCCAAGTAAAGCTTTAATTGACAATGGTTTGTCAAACAAGATAATATCACTGATCATATATTTTGTCAGACCAACCAATATAGCTGGAAAATCAGTCATTTCTACAGGAAGGCATAAGGGGTACCTGAAAAAGTAACTGTCTTTTCCAAATATGACCTGGTCTAAAATAACCATTCCCTACAGCATATACTATGTGGAACAGGATAACAGGTTTATCCAAGATTCAGATATAGTTCACTTGTTTGTTGACGTGCTTATTGCTGAATGAAATAGACAAAGCCCTTTGATATTAACTGTAGAAAATTGAAGTTATGTTACATTACCTTTAGTAAAAAGGTACCTGGGCAAAAATTCAGTTAGCAAACATGAGAACTTTGAGTAGTTTTGTATAAAGGACAATCTACACCATATGATTCAGGACATCAAATAAACCATTGTAAAGAATCAAACAGATGCACACAGTTCCAAAGTCCATGATGACAGGTGTCGTTCTCAATTATACATTTGTGTCATTTTCATTATTCAAATGCTTAAAAGTTCTATCCACAGTTTAACATATCAATTGATAAGTACTACATATAAGAAACTGAACAATAACTACAAGAAATGTAATACTCAAATTCTGGTAGAATATATTTGCATACTGAAGTGAGATGAGGGGTTTTACTTTTTGTGATCCTGTATCAAACAATCAAAAGAAAATCCTCGGTAGCACGATCTGAATGGGATACTGCCAACAAGGAATTAGATGCATTCCTGACCGAAAATCTTCCCAATCAGAAATCAGCAAAGCATATTATCCTTTACTATACTAAAATGAATACACCACTATTAATTTGCAGCAAAGCAATCAATACATGCAGAAACAAATCATTGGTGCAGAGACATCGCAGATTGATATCACCTGCCTTTTGTGAGGAGATACATAGTTCTGGTTCAGTTCAACAGCATCATATTTAATTTCTCCAACAATATTTTACCACACATCACAGTAATGAGTAGTTTTAAAATACAGGTTAATAAACATACTAGCTAGTACAGCCAGTAAATTTGAGATATTTTTAGAAATGTGAATTTGTATTCATCCAAATTTAAATCACTTGCTTTTAATGTCATTTCCTATTTTTCATTTCTCAGAATATCCCTAATTACATATCTACTATATTGTTTTAGGAATTTTTCTGAAAAGGTTAAGGAAAACTGCATCTTTATCTGATAGTTCCATCTTTCTGATCTTCTTCATCATACAGCTTGCTAATCAAGGCTATTTTACCTGAAAAATTACTTCACAAGTAGGAAAGTAACATGCAAAAGCTATTCATTGTTCCATATGCTGAAAAACTACACATACACAGGAGATATGCTATTTATCCTGAGCACTTGCTGCACCCTTTTTTCTTATATTTCTCATTTATATGATCTGTATAATAAACCAGATTTTAAGCACACTTTTAGTCATGACCTATACCATAACCTTAAAATTTTAATATTTCCTTATGCAGTAATTAGCTTAGGCTGTGTACACTTGTCTTTTACACTTGCTGCTGTAATGCTGCATTAAGCAGCAGGTGTGAGCCTTGGGGTTGGGACAGCAAGGATTCAGGTATAGTTCAGAATCAGGGGTGGCTCCTGCCTTAGAAATACTGGAGTTGATCCACACCTGATGGGGGGGCGGGGATACACCTTGCTGAGTCTTTCTTCCTTGTTCTGTCTTAATAGGGATATGTGGCAATGGCACCACACAAGAAAGGTTTGCCTCATTAATACAAGAAATAACTAGAGGACTCATACACACTTGTTACAACATCTGCCATTACCAGTTTCTCACTCATTTTTCTGTAGAGACTAACATATAAACATGTTACAGAGTTTTCACACATCTGTGTGCCTGTACAGTGTAACCCTCAGTGAAGATACCATTGACAGTCCTCAGGATCACAGAGATGGGCATATGGGAATGCAGGCTGATGTCAGAGAGGCACATTGGAGAAAGTTACCAGTCTTTTCCAAAGTAAAGACTGCTCTTTCCTGTTTTCCAGTGTATAACAACTGATTCTTTTATTGTTACATCTCAATAATAAACATTCTACACTCTTTATGTTTTGTGTGGTATGGTTTTGGAAAACCTCCACTGCACAAGCACCCATACACACACAGACAGAAGACACTTCCAAATTTTCTGCTGAGATGCACACAGGCAAAAACATCTGAGTAACCACTGGTGAATGTTAAAGATGTGGGCCTTTCCCACCAGAGTTGTACTGCATTGCTCCTCCACCTTCAGAGCAGGGGTGAGGTCCAGTGGAGAGTTCAGATGGGGCTGATCTGTCTCTCACTCCACACCTGGAGCTTTCTCCTCCTATGCAGGCAGGGCTGGGCCCATGGGTCACTCTTGGCCTGAGGACAGTGGGATCCACATCCACTCCTCAGATGGCATCCAGAAGCAACTCTAAAATTTTTCTTTTCCCCCCTCTCTCTTAATAACGATATGCAACGGTGGCGTAACACAGTGGAGATTTACCTGTTGCTTGTACAAGAGTTTGCTCATACAAAGTTGTTGTTATGACACATAAAAAGTTTTCCCATACGCATGCAGGTATTTTACTTAAACACACCACAGAGTTCTTGTGCATTCATGCCCTTGCAGTGCAGCTCTCAGCAGCTATTTCAGTGTTTGATGCCAGCCTCAGAGACAGTCGTGTAGGAATTCAGGGTGAGGGCTGAGTAGAGGCACACAGGAGGAAGTTAGAAGGTCCTTTATAAAGCAATGGCAGTTTCTCCTGTTTTCCAACATGTAGCAACTAAGTATTGTCTCCTTAGTATTATTTAGATAATAAACAATCTATTCTGATCTTTTCCTATACAATATTGTTATCTTAGTCCTTCACTGTGTTATAAGCACATACACAATAATACTACAAAGTTTTCTGTTGAGATCTCCACCAACTAAAAAGCATGAGAGACACCCCAGCCTGTAAGTTACATATTTATTAAGCACCTCTTAACTGCAGCATGTTGATGTCATAAAGTAAATATTTAACTAGTCACCATTCTTCTCAGCAGTTCTCCTTATTACACACATCAGAAGTTTCTGGTTTTCTCTGGGGAATATCTGATCACTTCTACCAGCATTATCCAATACCCTCATTCTACTCCCTCCTGCTTCCATATATACAAGTCAGTCCAATACTTAAATAAATAATACAATCCAGTCACTAAAAGAGATATGATAGCACAGACACAAATCACTCAGTGCCTGGATTTCCTGGTAGCAAAATCATTCCACACCTGTGTTTCAAGAGTTTCTCTGGTGTACCATTTTTAACTCAACCCATCCCTTCATATATTCAGTGTTACCAACACACTGCGTTAAATGCATTCTGAACCTTACCTTTTAAAAGGCTTTTCAAGTACCACTTCTTGTCCTTGCTAAGCACCACCCATGGTTTGGGAAAATACTCTTAAAGCAAATGTGAAGTACCCAACTGCTTCTCTCTTGTCCCTTAGAGAAGCCAAACCAGATACTGATCGATGTGCCTGAACCCAGTTGTCAGGCCAGGCTGCTCCTCCGTGCTAGGAGGGAAAGCGATGGGAGGCCCCCGGCAATGATGTGTGGTCACAGAGACCAGCCTCACACATTTCAGGGAACGACCTCTGCCACTCTCCAGCCTTTAAAGTTAGGGTTTACATTAAAGGCTTGTCTTCACTGATTAAAAAAACCCACAACCAAACAACAAACCCACCAAAACTACTTTCACAGGTGCAAAACTTATGCTGATCCTTTTCTCCTCTAGTTAGCTGCCTGACTAGAAAAGCTTGTTGGAGACACAACACTCTAGTTTGTTGTTAGGTAAGTAAGTAATTGTGGATAAGCAGATAGTTAGAAGGTGCACTGCATCACCCCTGTTAGGGAAGTCCCCTCTCTCCACAGCTTCTGCCCAGCAGACACCCTGCCATTAGACGAAGAGCTTCACTCTGGGGGAGTAAAAAGCCAAACCAGGTGTTCAGCATTATGATTAACCCGGGGCGGGGTGGGAGAGAAAAGTCAGTTTTAACAGTAAAGGGCACTCACAGAAGTTGAAGGGACTGCTCCCTTATCCTCAGAGGAATCTCAGGGGTGAGCTGAGGAGAGGGGTAGGTTTTTGGAAATGAAGCCCAGGCTCACACCCCAGCACTACTGCCGCCGCCTTGGCGCTCCCGACCTCCCTTTTCCCTCAGTGCCGAGGGTCGCTCTCGCCGCAGGCCCCAGCCCGCCGGTGCCGGTACCGGCCGCGGGCCCCGGGCTGCGGGGGCGGCTCAGGTACAGCCGGGTGACTCCGCCGCGCCCTTTCCAGGAAGCGCCGCGGCCCCCGCCCCGGCAGACGCTGCTCCGCCAGCCGCGCTGCCCAGGTCGCCGCCGGAGCCTCGCCAGGACAGGTAGGGCCCCGCGGCGGGAAGCGCAACGCGGTGCCCCTTCTCCCCGCCCGGCCGGGAGGCGGGACGCACCCCGGCGCCGGGTGGGACTCGGGGGGCACGACTGGGCCGCCGCCTCCCGCTGCCCCGGAGCCTGCCCGGCCCGAGCCGGCCGCCGGTCCCGGGGCGGGGGGCGGCGGGGCGGGTTCCCTTCGCGGCGGGCGGCCGCGGGCTCGGCGGGCCCGGGGCAGCTGCCGGCAGGGCCGCTGTTCCTCCGGCGCAGGGGCCTTTGGGGGGTCCGGGCGGCGAGCGTGGCTTTCTCTGTGTTGGGCGTCTCTTGGATTACGGTTTTATTTCAGTCTTACTTTCTGCACCCGTCCTACGTGAGAGACGACAGACTCCTCCGGAGCGTTGGGTGTGAGGAGGTGGCTGGCAACAGCTTTCTCCTGACAAACTGGTTTCTGTACGTCTGTTTACACCGGGTAGCTTTTATAACCTGCTGTAGCTGCTCTGGCGACAAAATCGCAGCTCTCTGAAGTGCCAGAGCGTACCTGCAGCACCTTGATTGTGATCTGCCCCCGTTAATTCGCCACCTCCGGGAGGGGGGCACAGGGGGCACTGCCGGCCCGGTGACGCGGGCTGTTACACAACTAACGCTTAGAGACACGCAGGACCAGTTCAGATCCGTGTCTTTCTGTAGGGATCCATTAACCTCAGCTGTGTGTAGCTGCTTGCGTTAGATGACTTCATTTACAGGATTCATTCAGAGTTCATCACGCACACTTCAAAAGATTGCGCTGTCATTTTTGTCGTAACTCACACTAGTTTCTGTCTGACAGATATCACGCCATGTCTGCGGGTTTGGTACTGCTGTGTCAACTACTCACGATGATGTTTGCATTTCCTCTCTGCACAGGGAGGAGATTAAATAACTTGAAGCAACCTGAATGGAAAGATGGTAACTTTTAATGTGATTTTATGCTTTCCGGAATAAAACTGTATCAAACTTTGCTTCTGCTGACAAATCTTTTTATGTATGTAAATAGTTTTGGTTTTGTTGTTGGTTTTTCTACTTCATTAAAAAAAATTAAGGTGTTTTACGCTTAGCTTTAGAATATGTTAATATCTTGCTGAAATGACTGATAATTGACTTGGGTGTCAATATTAAGAATTTATCAGATCCAGAAGTAAGTGCAGACTGGGACAACTGAGCTTTCTCTAGGTCTCTAGGATTATTGTCACTGATATAACCAGAATCCTCTAAGTAACATCACTTAAAAATTTAAAATCTGTGTTAAGACAATACTGCTTTGATACTATTTTAGCACATCATAGTTTTATTTGTATATCTAAAATTGCTTTGTAAGGGTTTGAAAGGGTTTATTTGCTTGGGTTTTTTTGAGATTGATGCTTTTACTCAATACCAGATCCCCTTACAACACCTTGAAAGATAAACATAGTGCTGCTGTTGTAGTCCTTCACTTTAGAGGGAGGGAAGTGCATTGGAATTGGGGTAAAACCAAATGAAGTTCCCCAGGAGGACTCAAGCACTACAGCGCTAAGCTGCATGATACTTAACATTTAAGCATCAGGGCTTCAAAAAGGAATTTGTAACTTAGCTGTCCAGCCTCCTCAGTGGTTAAGGAGTGCTGAAACCTAAAAGACAGATTTTTTAAAAGGCGTCACATTGAGGAGGCTCCTCCAGGGCAGTATGTCGAGCAGAAAACATGGCTTGCAGAAAAATGCTTGAGATAGGTTATTTAAAATCCATATGGCTCTGGGGCACAAAATATCAGGCTGCCTCTTTGCTGTGAGTTCACAGCACAAAACCCTCTGCTGACAATAGGCCCAGATCACTCTTTTTAAAGACAGAGTTGGGAAGAGAGGGGCCCAAATCTTTATCCAATAATTTAGCAAGTAGAACAGTTGTGAAGAGTATGGAGTACCTGCATCAAGAGGTTACCCCTTCAGCATATTCTGAACATCTTTTACCAGCAGTTACTTTATTCAGCACATTGTGTGGATGCATTTTAAATGAAATGCTAGGTATCCTAAAACTGCATTTACCATTTTGTTGAACTGCATTCAGGTCCTTCACGTATAGGAGAGAATTCAAATTCATCTGTTTAATTCTCCAAATAGTATCTTAATCACCAGGTTGGAGGTAATTCAGAGATGGAGATAGGTGTATTTTGACTATGTCCTACAAAGTGAAAAAAGTGCAGCTAAATGAATAAAGACTCTCTGAAAGAGGAAAGGAGATGTATGTCTGGGAATTAGGGGTCTTAGGCTCCAGGCAGTTTGCCTATGCGTTCCACGTTAATTATAATGCATCAATTATCTAAGTTAATTCAGAAGTATAGCTAATAATACTTGCATGGTAAGGAATGAAACATTACTGAGCAAAACTGAAAATCTCTGTTTCAGGAGACTGAATTTATTCTTGGGACTTGCACTGAACCAAGATATCAATAGTAATTTTTTCCATGTAATTCTTTCCCCTACCCACTTGTGTATTTGGGTCTTCTCTCTGGTTACTCTTTTGCAATTACTTAAGAATAACAGATTTCCCTTCCTGCACAAATGTGTGAGCACACATGTGGCTCCTTCAATATATACTCTGATATTATATAAATTATATAAATATATACTGTAATATTCCTTCAACATACTACAGTATTAAAGACACAACCAACCAGTATACAAGTAACACTGCAGTTTTCTTATTTTTCAGAGAGCATTTGAAACCATTTTGAGATATCATTGCAAGATCTAACAGTAACTAATTAGGTAAAAATTCCTGAATGATGTGATAATCTAGCCAAACAAGCTAACAAGAGCACAGAGCTAATTTGTAGCTGAATAACTTTATACTGAATCTCATCTCCTTTTTTAGCTGTCTGGTTTGGTATGTAACAATGCTCTTTCTGCATTACACTTGCAAAAATAATCCTCTAGTCATTTTGTTTAACCAAATAGTCTGAATTTCTTGGAATACAGATTAGGCTTTCACTGAAAACCAAGCCAGAAAACTAGTTCCGTCATATAAAGATTTTTTTTATTTCTTTTTTTTTTTAAAAGCTGTAGCAAGAGCAGGCTAAAACTTGACTATGGAAAATGCCTGGTGAGAAAACGCATTCCTGTATTCCAAAACCTTCTATAATTTCACTAACTGTTCTGGAATCCCACCTCACAACTTACTCCATGAGGTCTCATGGAGACTGTAATAAGCACAAAAGTAGAAGAGAATTACATGTCTTCAGATGTGCCTGTTGTCAGTAAAATTCCTACCATGGACTCATATAAAAAATAAAATTGGCAATATGCAACCTTTACCTAAAACTTGCTTCCACGATTGTGAAAAGAGAACAAATGTAAAATGAATAGGATTCTTCTGCTACGATTTAAAAATCCAAGTTCTGTAAGCAAAATTTGGAACTCACAGATACCAGAATATTGATAAATGTATATTAAGGATTCTTTAGAAGAAAGAGATTTTTTTTTTTCCACTTCTTTTTTCCCCACTTGCCTCCTTTGTCCAGTAGGTCAGCATCTTGCTGGGTTTGGATCTGACTGAATTTCTGCTTTATGTGACTATTACTTAAGAGCTCCGGTAAAAAACTGATGCCTGCATCCCAGAAGGGACAACACCAAAACTTGAGCAACAGCTGTCATGAGAATCAAATTCTCTTAGCCAGTATAAAGAATAGCTAGAATGCTTTATGAGAAAGGAAAGTATGTTTCTTTTACATGGCAGAGTTAGTAAAGCTAGCAGTGAAGAAAGCAGTTTAGGAGGAGACCTTGACGTTTCTTTTTCCTGTATGTAGTTGGGAGATGCTAGGGGAAGAAGTGGTTTCAGTGTGCTCCTTTAGGATATTAACCATTCTTTAAAAATACCAAATTTAGCTTTCCTAACTTGTTTTAAACAAACTTGATTTTTTTTATTAGTGATCACATCAGAAAAGGAGGCCAATTTATTCATTGGACGACATCTTCTGAATAACAGATTTGATTTTGAAGCATTCACAGTGGATAACCTGGAAAGAGAATGCTTTGAAGAGCTGTGCAATTATGAAGAAGCAAGAGAAGTTTTTGAAGACCCTGACAAAACGGTAGCTGTTCAAATGGAATTTAATGTAGTGAAGGAGGTTATCGACTAAATCATTACTGTATCTAAATACTATAGCCCTTCTGAAAATAGCACTTAAAATAAGATGATTAGTTATTTTACTGTAAAAGTAGAGGCCTCAATCAGATGGGGTTATTGCTCTAGTGAATACATTCGAATACGTACTGTTGTCTTAAAGACTTCAGGTAAGGACTCCAATTCTGCAAAAAAATATAAATGAAACTTCAGAATTACTGCTTGTGTTTTCAGAATTTCATTATTTCTTTTTAGTAACTTCTCAACATCCAATTTGAATGTGTTCTACATGCTCTGTGTAATTGGCTGACCGTGTCCTTGTATCATGCCAAATAAGTGTTTTAGAAGAGAGGAGTATGGAACAAATCTGCAGGTCAGCTATTGCTGAGTATTCCTATAGCATTATCTTCTAAATAACTACCTGTATACAGCTTGCAAGAAACCAGGTATTAAAAAAGAGAAAAATACGTAAGAAATCTTTCGGCCCAATAATGGAACGTGATGACTGTCCGAAGAGTGGCTCTTGCTGCATGCAGCAAGAATCTTTGTGATTCTAGATGTGCACTCCACTAACCTGCAGAAAGAGCAAGGAATACACTCTTCTTCTGAAGGCAGAAATGTTAGTTTGCCATTGCTAGCATTTCCCAAAGAAAAAGGTGAAAGTATTAAATCGGAATCTTGATGGAGTCTTTTGCTGGGTAGCAAAAGTGGAAACTAAAGCTAAAGTCATGTAACATAATTTTTTTTCCATAAATAAATCCTATTATTTTTCCTAGCTGATATGAATTCAAATATTGTTCATGCAAATGCCTAATTTTAAGAACTCGACTTTTTTTATAGATGGATTTTTGGAAAGACTATTCAACTAAAGGTCCCAAAATAAAAATAGGTAAGTAACATTTTTATTCTTTTCTTATATTACAATATTTTCTGTTATAATAGTACATACTTAAAAGTACACATAAAAATATGCATTCAGTTAGCAAAATCAGATTTCATCTTTTTACTGAAATTCACTGTGAACTGTGCAAATGTATTGCATTATCTGATACATTAAAACATACACACTAAAGCATCTTAGAAGGATCTGTTATAGGTAAAAGCAATATGAATTTTGTTGTCGATTTTTTTTGTTTTCTTACATGATCAGTAAACTGCAGTAATCCTGTGGCTGCTTTTCTGTGGTTTTGTTTTGTTTGTGTTGTGTTCCCCTCATGTCTTTAATAGTAATATAACAGCCTGATTCAGGTTCAGAGTAGTCTTATGACAGACATTTTCTAAAAAAATGGTCAGTAAGAGTTGAGGAAAGATCCTGATTTGGCCTGATAAAGGCCAAAGTACACGAAGTAACATTTGGAAGGCATTAGAAGACAGATATCTCAACAGAAAAGGGAATGTCTACTCACTTTCACTTTAAGCTGAATGTGAGTAATACTCTAGGTTGTATTGCACAGAAATCATGGCTTCTTATTGCAAGCTAGGTATTTATGGAAATGAACAGCCTTATAGCACAGCAAAATTAGTATTGTATAGTGTATACTATGTAGATGGAGAGAACACATAATGAAAATAACCAATGTTTTATCTTCAGGTGATGAGACACTACAAAAGGTTAATGTTACAGGACTTCTCATCAGTCTAGTTGCTGCTGGAGTACTGTTAGTTATATTTGTACTGCTTATCTTCTACTGCTGCAAAAGTAGATGTAAATCGAGGCAACCACCAGGGTAAGGAATTTCACTTAAAACAAACAAACAAACAAACAAACACCAAAACAAACTCTTGCTTAAGAGTGGAATTTAAAAATCACCGTGGGTTGGTCTAACTGTATTCTCAGAGTCCAGTGGAAGTTCTAGTTCCTACTTTCCTGGAAGCAAAGTTAGGTGAGCAGTAACAGCAGTTATGCTGAAGTTGTTAATATAAAAGTGAGAAACAACACTTGCATGGCTGACGTACCTTCTGGAATTTTTTGTGTGTGTTGTTCTTGGTTTCAAAATGTTCTTACTAAAAAGATTAAATAATTTTAATAGGTTGGGACCTGCAATGGAAAGTCGAATGTTCTGTTTGCTCTTTAAAGGTTGTATGCTCTTCATGGCATGTAGTCTACCCCTGATCTGAAATGAAGTAGGTTGGAGGAAATGCTTTTTTACCAGTTCTCTAGCCCTACTTGTTCATTTATCCTCAACCTGAAAGGAATACAGGAGGACTGCGTGCTTCCTCTTCCCTACAAATTTCACATTACTAAGCTATTCTTACTCTGTAGTTCGGAGAGAGTATTTGACTTCTGGTCTTTATGATAATTGAAGGCAAGTGTCTTTTATTGGGGTTTTTTTGTTGGGAAGTTCTTTTTGGGGTTTATTTTTGGGGGGTTGGTTTGGTGTGGGGTTTTGGTTTTTTTTTTTTTTTTTTTTTTTTTTAAGAACTAAGAGTTTATATTATTTCTTCGCTTTAAAACAGGAGCTGCCACTTATAATGCTGTTAACTTTGTTTAGGTACGTGGATTATGGAAGAAGTAGAAGACGTAATTCATCTAGCATCTTCAGAAGGCATGAAGAATTTTCTTTAAACCCACTGCCTCTCAGAACTGATGATTCAGGACTACCAACTTATGAGCAAGCAGTTACTTCAGATGGGCAACACGACATGCCCCCACCCCCTTATCCAGGGCCCCCAAAAGGAGCACGGGTGTTTAAAAAGTCTATGTCATTTCCTGCCCCCTAGTCACAAACCTCCTTCTGGGGTAAGAGGGGATTACTGAAACATAACATACTTTTTTTTTTTTAAAAAGTGTGTGCTACCTTGCATATTGCAAGAAAGTCTACAAAAATGTGAAAGATCTTTAGCACAACTAGGAAAAAGTGAAGGTCCCAGTTGGGGAAAGTGATCTGTTGCGAAAGCTTCAGGACTATTCTTAGCACAAGGTCATTGTGCTAAGAGGAGGGAATGCATACAGAGTAAATCCTTTACTGCCACCATCTTTCATATGCACTTTGAGCCATCCCATCACACTATTGATGTTTCAACAGTTTCACTCTTTTATTTTCCTTCAGAAGGAACAGTATTTTAATTAATTTTATTGACACTAACTCTTTTTTGTGGCTATTGATACTTTAAACGGCCATAAGAAATCTACTTTGATATATTCACTTAATTGCTCTGTGAAGTTTCTATTCATTCCAGTGACAGATTGGAGTATGAAAATTAAAACTATTTCATGTTTTGATCTTTCACATGTGTATATATATTACTGCTTCTGAATTATACTGGTTTGTTTCAGACAATTCTAGCTAACACACTAATTAATTTGTTGTATTTTTGTGATCATAAATTTGGATGAAAAGGAACCATTAACTGCATGGTACATTACCCATTCAATATACTTTTAGCAAATGGTTTTGATGTTCAGCACTAAATACCAGGTCAAAGTGAATAAATAGAGTACTATCGGGGTCAGGGGCTGTTAAGCAAAGAGCTAGAGATTTGTCCCTTGTTAAAAAAAGTACCTAGGCTTCACAGATAATGTTTCTCTTAGTTTAAAAATTTAAGTGTTGAAAAAGACATTTAGGTGGTTAAATCAAAGGCCAAAATACCCCACAGAAGCACTTTGCTTAAGTATGTATTGCCCTACTGTTATGACCAAATTGTACCTTTAAGTAGAATGGAACATCATATTGGATAAATAACGAATACCATCAGAGCAATAGTTGAGGATTTTGGGAGGTTATTGGTTAACTGTATTCAACACAATTTTTGTATCTCTAGTTGTAGCCACTCTTAATTTTACATCTTATTAAAATATCAACCCCCAGCATTATATGACCTACAGGTCTTGCTGCGTAAGTCGCAGACCACCATTGCTGTCCATTTACCTCCTAGTCCAATGGCAGTGTAGTGGAAAAGCCTTCCTGTAGCCACAGGAAGCCCTAGTAGAGGGTCTCACAGGCAACATGTCAGGCTGGTGTTTTCTTGTATGAGAGCAGCTATATGGTTGGACACATGCAACAAGTTTTTTTTTAAGTAGCAGCAAATTCCCCCCCATTTGACCAATGCTGACAGCAGCAAATGGTATTCTTATTTAGTGCCTGAAATGCACTTTTTATTAGAAAGGTTGAGTATTATATGTAACATTTCACTGACTTGTATGTTTAACATGCTGGAATGTACAGTGCTACTGAATGACATGCAGAGGACTGCTATGAGATTTTTAATCTGTAATTGCTTTTGTAAATAAGAAAATGCTCTATATCTTGGACTATAAAGAAGGTATGCTATGCAGCATTTTCAATGAGGTCTTGGCCTTTGAAAAATACATACAACCCAGCTGCTATCAGTGGACATGGGACTGTGTCTTATTCCTAAAGCATTCCAAATTTGATGCTGACAAGTCACAAATCTCTTTGCAGCTTCTTTCTTGTTGAGAGATGGAGGAATCCCCTTGGTGGGATAGCTTGTTTAGCTTAAGTGAATTGCATGAGATGACTGTTGATAACCAAACCAGTTACAATGAAGCAAGGGAATGCTAAGCTTCTAAATACATTTATCCCATATTTCCTTTTCATTTAGCTAACATTTTTAAAATTTGTTAATGTGCATCTTAAGCTATAGAGCGTACTTTTCTGTAGATTTTTCCTGGGACTCAAGAATGACTAATTTAATGGGACTGATAGGAGCACTTTCAAGGAAGGGGATTTCACAGGGCTTAGGAGAGTTCAGAGATTCTTTAATGTTGCTACAGTGATGTACGCATCTGACAGTCATGTTTTAAATAAACTATAGAAATTGTACAGCTATTTAATCAGTTGAAATTTTATTCTTCTACTGTTCTTACAAATAATTTGCAAATGATCCCATGCAATACAAGCAAAAATCTTGTCCTTGATAATTAATTGTCCTGGGCTGAGTGAGTGGTGGAGTTTTTTGGTGGCAGGGGAGGGGGCTATCGGGGTAGCCCCCTGTGAGAAGCTTCTCGAAGCTCCCCCAGCTCCAAGTCAGCTCCACTTCTGTTTGGGAAATTAAGCCAATCGGCTGCGCCTCTGCGATATTTAAGAAGGGACGTGGTGACGAGCAGTCGGACTTGTGAGGAGGAGTTGCTGCAGCTGCAGGAACACCAAGGTCAGTGGAGGAACGGAGGAAGAAAGGAGGGGGGAGGTGTGCCAGAGCAGAGACCCCCCTGTATCCTGTGGTGAGACGGCAGGGCGGCCCCCCCCTGCCACCCATGGAGATCTACAGTGGAGCAGACATTGATTTGTGGCCTGTTGTTCCTGCTCAGCTGATCAAGGTGCTGTGCCAGAAGAAGGCCGGGGTCTCATGGGAAAAGGCAGCCCCGCTGCTGTAATTCAGCGCTGGGAGGATTGCAGCATGCGGGGGAGTCCCACGCCGGAGCAGCTCGGGAAGGGCTGCAGCCGTGGGAGGGAATCCAGTCGGAGAAAGTTAGTGACCCATGACGGAGCAGTGTGGGGAACGCTGCGGCCCTTGGGAGGAATTCATGTCGGAGAAAGTTTGTGGAGGACTGTCTCCTGTGAGAGGGGGACCACGATGGAGCAGGAGGAACAAGTTTCAGACACTCCCCTCACCGAAGATGAAGGAGTGGCAGCACTGACTGCACCCCCCATTCCCTGCCCCTGCGCCACTGGGGGAGGAGGTAGAGATATCGGGAGCAGAACTGAGCCCGGGAAGAAGGGAGGGGTGGGGGGAAGGTGTTCTCAAGATGTGGCAATGCTTCTCACTGTCCTACTCTGTTATGTGTTGTTAGTGTCTGTAATAAATGTATGTTCTTTTTTTTCTTCCCCTAATGAGTCTGCCTTTTGCTCGTGATCATAAAAGGGGGATTTTTTCCCCATCCCAGTCCTGTCTCGAACCCCAAGCCCGGCTCTCTGTCCCTTCTCATTGCCGGAGGGGAAGGGAGAGAGAGCTGCTGCATTGTGGTTGGCTGCCAATCAGGCCTAAACCACAACATTAATAAAAAGCCTTAAGATGGTGTAACTGTTAAGCATCAATGCTGTAGCACTTTGGGCACTAAACTGCACCTTCTGTAGGGTTTAACACTTCAAATTTACTCAAAGAATCTGAACTTCAGACTCTGAAGATACTCAGAATACTCAAAACATACCCTGAAGATTCTCAAAATCTAGTGACTGACATTCAAATACTGGTTGCATGTAGCATGATACATTCTGCTTATTATAAAGAACAAAGTTTAAAATTCTGTTGAACATAACATACGTACTTCTCCTTGTAAAGGGAGAGAATTCCTTTGAATGGCAGTTGTTTGGGTTGAGTTTGGTTTTCTTCCTTCATAGACTGACTCCTGTTCAAAACACTCTTACCTTGTATTGTCTCTTTTTAGAACTTCTGATTCATCACTGTTAGCAAAGGAAAAATCAAAAAGACTATAGTGACTTCTGAATTCAGAAGTCTTGCTACATTTCCAGATTTGACATGCAGTTCCCTTTGAAAACGCAGTTGCTATTAGAATATAGAAAACAGCAAATACAAGTGTCCTTAGGTGGGAGGAGGAGGAAGAGGTATGTTGAAGAGCAAAGCAGCAGCAAATTTAGTCTGATTAGTATACAGATGTACATCATCAGTGGTTTGACTTCCAGACTTTCTTGCAAGGGCCAATAGGAAAGGCAGTAGATTTTAAGTGAATTAATAGAGATCTACTATAACAGTTGAAACCAAGTATCTAAACAAAGCACTGGGAAAAATTTCATAGTACTGAAATTCTGTTTCACAGCAGGTTTAAACATGTCATACTAAATGCTGTTAGCCATTGCCTTGAACAGTTTTCTAATGTAGCCCTTTCAGCATGATACAAGATTACAGCACGCAACAGAGTACTAGTTAGGGCAAGTAACAGGGTCAGAAGAGTGGTCTCTGGCTCTATCAACTGAAAATTATTTTTTTTTTGCTTCAGTGAAATCAGAAAGCATACTATTTGATTTATTAAATCCTCTGATGAATAATATTATAAGCATTATATATATCTAGTTTTTTGAGGTTTTCTTTATTGGGGTTTTTGTGAATTCATTATAAGACCAAAACCAGAGTACCAAATGGAAGTGCACTTCCTCACCACAGTTCATGAAAATGTGAGTCATGAAGCATCTGACTCTGGTCCTATCAAAATTTATGGCTTCAGTGGAACTGGGATTAGAGCCAAAAATGAAATAACTGATCACTTTGGGTAATAAAATGTATAATGCTCTGCCAAATTATTTACCACATTATTTGCCACTACCACATTATTTGCTGTTGCCAAACCTGATTTAAAGTAATCTATTGTTTTAATGATGCCTACTTGTATTAATTAGAATGTTTGAGGCTGATCTGACCTTAAAAAGTGTATTTGAAATTTGGAAAGCATAGGAAAATTCCTTGTGTTTCCTCAGATTACCAGCCATGAGTAAACTGCATTAATTACCTGTAGGTTATCTAGCAACACTATTTGATTACTTTGATCAACAGTACAGGTTCATTTAAAGTTTTTTTTTTAAAAAAAAACACAACAAAACAGCAAACTTCTCTATTCGCAATCTCATCTGCCAACAAAAGTTGTATTGCTGCTATCCTCACTTGTTCCATGTGGTGTAAGGAACAGGAAGGAAACACCAGGTTTAAAAGCCATCTTTCAAACACTTAAAGCTTGCTCCTTCTATACTCTAAATGTCTTTCAATTCCTGCCACATACAAATTTAGCACTATCATTTTCAGTCAAGAATTAGATGTGTTTTCCTCTCAAAAACCTTAATCACATCTTCCCAAATACCCTGCTCTTTATTCAGCTGGTAACTTTTGACTGTTTCCAGTAACTTCTGAACTGTATGAGCAGTTCTTGTTACTTAATCTTATGAACATATTTCCTTCTACTCATCGGATGCAGCCTTTTGAATGCACTCATTACTGGTTGTATTTTAATTCTAACTTTGATGTTAAGTGTTGTCATTTTGTTGCCTGAGAGGTAGCAATATTTTAAATTCTGCTTGTCTCTATATTATTTAGTAAACCAATTTCCAAATAAACATTTATGCAGGTTAATCATCATAAAAGAGAAAACGCTAAGAGCCTATAATAAAAAGTTAAAAAACTTTCAATAGCCCTTTTTTTTTAATGAAGTTGGTAACAGCATGAACTCTTCTTAAAGTACTTAAAGGGGGCTTATAAGAAAGGTGTGTTGTGATAGGACAAGGGAGAATGGTTTTAAACAAAGATTTAGACTAGATATAAGGAAGAAATTGTGTACGATGAGGGTGGTGAAAGACTGGAACATGTTGCCAGAGAGATGGTAGATGCCCTATCCCTGGAAACATTGAAGATGTCCCTGCTCACTGCACATGGGTTTGGACTGGATGACCTTTAAAGGTCCCTTCCAACCCAAACCATTCCAGGATTCTATGATTCTTTACGCCATATAGCACTTACTGACAGAGAAAAAGGGTCATGTTTTTTTTTTCCTTAACATTGGCAATTTCTACCCTGGACAAGCTTCCTGCTTCATTGTTCTAGTTCACGTAAGCATCTGAGGTTCTGAACCATGAACTGCAGTCACTGAAGATTAAAAACAAACAAGCTAACTTAAGCAGGTGTTGCACCCTTCCATCTTCACTTTCACCAGACCTTTGGTGAGAATATTTAACACAATAATGTGACTGAAAAATACTCACTTTCTTAGAGTTAGTGGAGTGAGCAAGATCACTCCAGTGAGGACCAGAGCAGGCATGCAAAAGCAAGGCATGGATAATTGAGGCATAGATGAGGGCAGCTAGATAAAGCTAATACTGTAGCACAGTGAATTACACTAAATTAAACCACTCTTGTTTTGCCCACTGGAAGATAGCAGTCAGATTTGTGCTTTTTCACCCAACCACATAAGATTAGCTGAGCTAGCTGGTTCAGACTCCTCAGAGAATACCAGAATCTCCTCTTGTATTAGAACATCCAGTGAAGTCTTTTAACCAGTCAACTGATCTGGGACTTGGAATACAGATGGTGGGGTTTAGATGCTTCATTCTCTAGGAAAATAGGATCAGAGTTCTTTGGAAAATATCTTTTATGTCATCTGTTTACGATATTATGACTTGAACTATACAGTTCCCAGCTACAAAAAAATCAGGAGTTTGTATCTACTGGATTTCAGCAATTCTGGAAATCATGTGGAAGTTTAGAAAACGTACAGCATTCTGACACTACTTACTTTAAAAAAAAAAAAAAAAAGCTACCTGAAACTCAGATTAATAAAATTTCCCATCTAACTTTTCATCTCCGTGTCCATTTAATAGAAAGCAAGACAATTCACTTGGAAACATCAAAAACAGTTACTGCTAAACTGCCCCGATCTGGCAAAATACAGAAATCTCAGCAAAAGACTAGCTCCAGCTAGAAACTGCAGGCCCTATGATGTAACAACAAGGGAAGCAATAGTAGTTCTATTTGTATTTAAACTACAACTTAGCTTGCTGTTGACTGCTGCAGGAACAACCTTCCCAAACTTTTACTAGGTGGATACCACCCCTCTATTTTACCATTAAACACATTATCTTTTACATAACTTCACAATGACAACTACACTAACTGCTTATATGAATAATAACAGTATCAAATGTATTTTGTCTATTTTTTTATGCTGTAAATTTTGTCCATGCTGAAAATACATATAACTACATTAACAACTTCTACTTTATATTTAACTTTTCATTTCCTTCTGTTGTGGTTTTTTTTTTGTTTTGTTTTGTTTTTTTTTTCCCCCCTCTTTTCTTATTGTTCTACCTATAATTTGCTATGGACCTTCTTTCCTTCTCCAATTCCTTTTTCCATGTCTATTCATAATTTGCTATTGTACACACACACCTGTTTGCTGCTTATTTTTTTTCTCCTTTCCTGGATATGGA